CCGCCTGAGCTTTCGTGCGTCGGCAGTTGTAGTCTGCTCATCGCCTCCATACTGAAATTGTTCAGCGACGCATCCCAATTATCCACTATTTCGCAACAGGCTTTCGCGAGGATGGATCTTTGGTCGCCCAGTTGTAAGTCGTTAACCTTGCTGCAGCCGCGGGGTGTCATTAAGTGACTGCAGGATAATAGTGACGCGCAGTATCGCGGGTTCAGGAGCAATTTTGTTCCACTTATCCTTGCTGCGGCCGCCTATCTAGTTGCCAAGCATGTGCGCACTCGGATTCACGGCCCGACGGCTCCTCGAGATAATACGTATCTCATCCGCTTCAATTTGGGAGCTTCAGTGGCAATGCTCATAGCATTGCACGGGACAAGCGTCCTGAAAATACTCCCCATCTTGACTGCCGAATTATCTCATCTCAAAGTCTTTCCGTGGCTCCAAATTAGGGTCCGCTCTTCAGCTGGATCTTCAATGGAGCAGTTCTGGTCATGAATGACCGGTACGGTGGATATCGGTTTGGACGTATAATACCGTCCCTTGCATATCTGGTTTGTTTATCGTTTGCCCTTGCTTCATTTCCTCATACGTAAACAGGACTCGTTCGATGGAATTTACCCTCGGTGGCACATTAGCTTCAACATAACGATGCTTCGACTGCTGTCATTCAGCATGGATTATTATTGGGCAGTGTAATTCTACAAGCGAGGCGGAGGTGAGTGTTTCAAGAAAGCGTTCTACGTACAATGCTGATGAGATTCAGACCCCGTCCAAGCTCGACGAGAAGCAGCGTCAGACCATGACACATCCCGACAGCATGTACTCGTACCTGAACTACATCTCTTATGTCCTGTACCCACCGCTCTATCTCGCTGGACCCATCATGACTTTCAATGATTACATCTGGCAGGTCAGTTTATTTGACTTGTCTTCCGGCGTTTCCGGTATTTAACCTCTTCCAGAATCGTAAACCAGCTAATATTCCCGCATTTGCCATCAGGGGCTATTTTATTCGCTTTGTGATATCAATGCTCACCATGGAGTTCATTCTGCACTTCATGTACGTTGTTGCAATGAAAGACACAAAAGCGTGGAGGGGTGCTTCGCCAGCCGAGATAGGCTTGATTGGATTCTGGAATCTCATGATTGTCTGGCTCAAGGCAAGCTCCTCTCAACCACGCGAGTTTAATTAAACAAACTGCCTAGCTCTTAATACCGTGGCGCTTTTTTCGGCTATGGGCCATGCTGGATGGAATCGAGACTCCAGAAAACATGATACGATGCGTGGTCAACAACTACTCCACGCTCGGTTTCTGGAGAAGCTGGCACCGGAGTTATAATCTTTGGATCACACGGTAATTTCTGAAACCCGCCTCAATTCCACTTGTCCTCATCCACCCTCAGCTATATTTACATCCCCGTCGGAGGCGCTAATCGCGTCGTTCTCAATACATTACTCGTATTCACCTTCGTCGCACTGTGGCACGATCTGACATTCAAGCTATTGGCATGGGGCTGGCTTGTCAGCTTGTTCATTATTCCGGAACTTACTGCCCGCTTTCTCCTTCCCGAATCGAAGGCACCCTGTTTCATCTTCCTGCCGTCGGTCCCGCTGACAGTTTGACAGTACGGAAACGAACGGTGGTATCGGCACGTTTGCGCCGCCGGAGCGGTGTGCAACTTCATGTTGATGATGACGGCCAATCTCGTCGGGTTCGTTCTCGGGGTCGATGGAATAAAATTCTTCGTGCAGCAATTGTTTGGTTCTGCTGAAGGTTGGCGCTTATACTCTCGGGTATCCCGGCATCTAAAAAAACATCTTGCAGGTCTCCGATTTTTGGTAATCACCTCTGTGGCGTTTTACGCTGCAGCGCATCTGATGTTTGAATATCGGTGGGTCAATCGTTCCCATTGTTTTATCTTTTTCTCACCTCAGCACATGTAGAGAGGAAGAAAAGCGCAAGGGGATATTTAGAAGATGTTAATACCGTGATCCCGCTGATCTCTGAACTCGACGTGATGACCCCATTTCCCAAGTTTCATTCCGTTGGGAAGAAATCTGGGAAAATGCCTAAGCTCGGGACACCGCCCGAAGCCGCTACGACGAATAATTAAGTAGATGTGCAAGCGACTTCCAACTTCAAGCTTCAAGTTGTTATGTCGTAATTCCGCGCCAATTTTTTGGTTTGCGCCATCGAGGCTTCTGTTTGAGCTGGTCTAGACTTTTGAAGACTTTTATGCACTCTGCGTGCCGTATTGACCCTTGATGAGAAGTACGAGCACGCGAGTTCGCACTTCCCATTCCCATTTTCAGGTGCCAGAATGATGTGCGATCAGCTTGGTGTCAACTTATAAAGGGCATGACTGCAACAAACCTTTCCAAATCCCACATTTTGATTCTACCTTCAACACAGGCCGGCCCAAACTTTTCACTGCAACTTGCCTTGAGGTCTCAATCAAAATTTAACATTAATTCTCAGAGTCCCCTGTTGTTTTTATTGGACCAGGTCACTTTTGTTAAAGTGACCTGCTGGCTCGTTCGACTAAAGACTGCCTTTGGGTTGCACCACCACTGGCCCGGCCCGGCTTATAGGAACATTAATATTGACCAGTTCATTCTACCTCAACATGTCAACTTTCATAAGTATCCGAAATTAAATTGTGTGCCAGTACTCCGTTCATTTGATTGTTCCACTAATACTCTGTTTTCTGGTACTTATACATACGCTCCGTCCATTCTGAGACTGTTGACAAACTCTCAGCGGAACCGCCTCAGCTTCAGCAGTAATATTAAATTTATCGGGGTTGGCAAACTGGTACGCAACTGGTGAAGTCGAACAATTCATTTCATTTGGGAATCACGACTCACAAGAACAGCCTGGTCCCGCAATCTCCGTTTCATTTGGAGACTTTGTATGGCTTAACATATGCCCCGCAATCTGAACTTGGATAATTTCATCGAGACTCTTGGCGGCTTCGCTGGATCCGATATCTAAGCTCGCTATGCTGCAACTCCGATGTGGTGTATCGGTAACATTACCGTCAAAAAATGCCCAAAAAACCGCGGCGCAGATGCCTTTACCTGGAGGCGTAGCCGACGTGTGGGCCCCCGAGCCTTGGCGAGGGAGGGGGACTGGGCCCAGCGGAGCGACCCCGACCGCGGTGACAGTAAAGCGCATTCCCACACTTTGATTAATTTCAAGCACACCAGCCACGCTACAAAACTCTGTTCATTGTATCCCATCTCATAGACCTCGCCTTGTCCAAAGGGCGGTCATCAGCGCATCAAAGATGGCCGCATCAGCACCACCACGTGACGTCATCGTTTTCTCTCTATTGCGCTATCAAGCGCGACGGGTCACGGCAAGCAGTCTCGTCAATTCCGCCAGTGCTCCGCTGGGCCTCGTACCTAGTGCCGTCCTTAAAATGGTTCAATACACGACTAGTATCCCACTCCACCCACTCCATTCTCCTGTTCAACGGCCGAGTCGAACAATGTCTTTCTACGTTCGCCGTTCGGTGTATTCAACGGCTGCGCGCTCTCAGATAATCCAGTGTGCTCTTACTAGTTCAGCACGTCTGCTTCGACGTCATGTATGTAAATACTACTCCTTTCTCTGAGCCAGGACTTCTCGCTCTTTCTACTACTCAATGGCCCGGTATTTCTCACTTGACCACATTCCTTCCACCCAACCATAGCTAGCACAGATACCGAACAGCCATTCTTCTAGTTCTGGGCTAGGACCCACCAACGTCACCAGTGCTTCACTGTGGCTGCTTCACACGGCAAGTCAACGACACCGTTCTGCATCTGTTCGACCGGCTCATTTTCATTTAAAATTTTTGCAGTCGCTCTTCGCGGATTGGAGGAATGTCCGACCAGCGCGTTTGATTTGGTACGTCGGTTAACATTCCAACCAGATATCCCGATCCCGGTTCTGTGGACATCCATATTATTTCGGTGCTCTGCTGCTCATACTAGAAGAACGCCTAAACTAGTCAATCTACTATTGTATCACGTTAGGTTCACAATATTGTTTTTATCTGAAAGATCTGTCTTGGGGGCGCAGGACCATCTCAAGTGTGTTTTTGCGCGAACCGTATTCTGTCTCCGGTGGTTCACACATCAGCACCAAGTATCTTTGGACTGGGTGTTAGCCCAGGCTGGCTTGGTTGGCAGTTGTGCCGCAGGCCTATACAACTCTTCAGCACCTAGTGTATCTATGCCTGGGTGTCAGCCCAGGCTTAGAAGAAGAAAAGAAGCAAAAATACACGAAGTCCACTTTGGTGGGCGACTTGGTGAAAATTTTGGCTTTTTCATCTGCTGCAGACTCAGAGGGGAAAAAGAATTAAAAACCCCAAGTCGGTCATTAATCATGTATCAGCTATTCGGTTTTCACCATCCTTGTATTTATCTAGTACTTTCTTCGTGTTAATGCATGCTTTCTACAGGCAATGTATTGGTGAGATGTAAGCACGGCTGTTCAAACAGCTAATAATGTCTTTGTATTCGTATTGCAAGTGCATTAACGATGGACCTGTGAAATTTTTGAAGAATCCTTTGGGGGCTGAGTATGCGCCACAGGCAAAAAATTGCACCGAGTCCATCATATACTTGCGAAAATTCATTGGGGGGAGTCCTGGGGGAGTCACCAAAGATTGTTTTTGATTCGCAGAATGTATCATGTACCTTAAACTCCAATCTGACAATCTCTCTTATATCCGGTGTGGTGTATCGGCGCATCATAGACTTGCGAAAATTCATGGGGGGCAGAAAATTGGAGTCACCAAATATTGTTTTTGATCCGCAGAAAGCATCATATACCTTAAACTCGAACACCTCTTATCTCCGGTGTGGTGTATCAGCTAACATTACCGCCTCTTGGCATAAAAAGTCACCAAACTCTGCGAGAATGTGAGCAAAGCTGCCAAAAAGCTGCGCTCTTGTGGTTTTTGAAGTCGGAACATATCATATACCGTGAACTCGGATCACTTTTAGCTCCGGTGTGGTGTATCGGCTAACATTACCGCCTCTCAGTGGAACCACGTGCTTTACGTAAGCTTCGCTGCGCGGTAGCGCGGGGTTCGACTCCCCGCACCGGAACTTATTTTTGTCTGTTGTTTTTACCTTTCCCGACTAGTATTCCTAAGGCCCTCCGGGCATCCCTGGAACCTGGATAATGAACCACGACCCAGAAAGCAACGTTGACTCATTATTGACAAAAACACATAAATGTGTCGCAAACCCTTCTTTGAGCAAACCAGTGTCGCAAATGAGCCTCTAAAGACCATATCGTGTTAAAGCCAACATTTAAAAACACGAGTAAGTCAAGACAGTGATTAGACAAAGGCTACATCCAGACCAAGAATGGCATAGACCGAAAGAACCTTCCCTTCAACCTCGTTGTCGTAGCGCCGCAACTCATTGAGCCTAGGACGTCGAATCATAGTCATCACGGCAAGACCCGTGGAATGACTACCCGACTAGATCCGAAAATTTGGCCGTTTTGATACGGTAACCACAGGTTGTAGTTCATCAGGAATTTCGACTTTTTGATTTCAGACCTGGTAACCTATATCGGTTCCAGGAACATAATCAATTCCTTCCTTCTAAGAAGTTCTGTTATGTTCCAACTTTCATGTAAGCCGCCCGCGGTAGCGCGGGGTTCGATTCCCCGCATCGGAAGTTCTTTTTATGTTTTTTTTTTTTTGGCAGGCTTCCCGCTAGCACAAGTCTCCAAGTTTCCCCCATCCAGATTCCTTCTATCATTTTGGAAATTTTCCGTAGAACGCGGTCCGACCCCCTGCACCACAATTTTTGTTCTTCATTATCTGCTATGACGTTACAGTTGTCGAAGGACCTTTTTATCTTGACTGTCAACACTCGTCACGGTCGCCCATTTTTACTCTATACACAGCACCTGGAACTTCCGAGTCAGTGCCACAGCCAATGCACCGCCTTAGACTCGTAACCAGTCTGTAAACAAATTCCGAAAAAATGCGGCAAGCGCTTTCGGTGTTTACCGAAAGTGCTTGCCACATTTTTCGGGAATTGGTTACAGACTGGTTACGAGTCTAGCACCGCCTCATCAATAATTATAGGTGTACACTCGCCTTTCGCTGCGCATCTTAATGCTGCCATCCTTGGACACGACAACCACCAACTTCGGACATTCAACCCACAGTCCAGGTACATGTGCTTTAATGCGCTGGCAGCTTCAGTGGTAGTTCAGGTCTTTCATTTAGATACATGGGGACCTTGTTTTCCAATGTAGAGCACATCATCGACGGATTTCCATAGTCTCCCCGAGGCAGAGTAGATTACTGCACCCGAACCTTCGTGCCTCAGGATATTCCGTGCTTTTTCCCGCACCTGCCTTAACGGGTGGTGATTTTCAACTCCGCAAATGGCACGTGCGCTCAGTTTAACGCGACGAATCGTCGAGGATTCACGCGTCAGTGCACAGTACTCGCGTAGAAAGTGGTCAGAAATGACACCAAACAATCATATTGAGTTTCCAGATTTTTTTGACACCACTTCTGCCGCGGAACCGGCCAATAAACTAATAATATATAATCGGACAAAATAATCGTCATACCCGGTGCAGAGAAGATGGAGCCGTGTAGCATTCATCTTTCCAATGCCACATTGGATTGTTTTGAATATCCCCAGGTGTATTATCTGCTGCTCCCTAGATTTTTCACCCGTTTTGGCCTGCTTTGGGAACAGTGTGCACCTCAGTGGAAGATTACATGACATCTGGCCCAGTTTTTGGAACCCAAAGTTCCTAGAATCGGCTTATTTGCGATCCTAGCCTGCCAAATGGCCCACAGTCGTCACAGGACTTGCAATTTTGATGAATCCTCCCCAAAACAAAGTCGACGGATTGCAGAGCTTAGAAGACGTTCCCTGGATCCGGGTCTTGGGCAACACGTTCATATAGGATATATTCATCCTCGAGTCGGATATCAGGCCGTTCACGAACATATTCATTGAGAGGGAGAGGAAACATCATCAGATTTGCTCAGAGCAAATTTTAAACTCCGCTAAGAGGCAAAATCGATCGGAGATTGAAAATCACCTACCGTTAAGGGTCACGCGTCAGAAAGCAGACGTCAGATAGATCTTGAGGTACGAAAGTTGAACCCTGTCTACTGCTGCCTCTGGGAGACTAGATTTCCACCGCAAATCGCCTTTCAATTGCCGCCGGCGCGTCAGTGCGACTAGACTCGTAACCATAACCAATTGCCGAAAAATGTGGCAAGCACTTTCAGTGGTGTAAGTCTACAGTGCGACTGGGGGCCGTTATTTCACACTTCTCTGCCCCACCGTACAACGATCCACTTGAGCTTGCGTTTATGAATAATTGCAGAGTTGAAGACTTCGGGTGGCACTTTTCTCCGTCGGTCCATGCCAAACTATCCAAACTTGAAGCCGAAGGACATCAGCGATGGGTCCGGTACGCACAGTATTAAATTTTCACTCCAGAAATGGAGCTGATTTTGGGTAAAAAATGCAGATTCGATCTGGCTCAGCAGTCCATTTTATCAACAGATACAGTCGACTTTATTAGACGAATACAGTATGGTGCCCGCAGTCCCAGCTGGGGGGACATGCTGGCCGGCAGGAAAGTCAAATATCACGACTTGGCCAACTGGTGGTTCTCTCAGGCCAACTATATTTTCAATCGCTTCGGAATTGAATCCAAGAGGGGGGAATACGGTTTGTTTAGCTTTTAAATCGCAGTCACATGTTTTCCTGAACTTTGTACTACAGTTCTGGTGGACAGCATCGATTATCGTGTTCGGTTCAAATCGGCGGAGGTGCCTTCGAAGGGCTTCTTGTTTCTAGCTCCATTGCAAGAACTACAAACTCAACATGCCAGATTTCACAATCCAGAGTGTTTAGCATATTGGTCCCTCGATTCATCTGGAGCTCAGAGGCTCGGCAAATTGGAGGCCGAGAGGCTCGGCTTTCCTGCACTTCAGGTCTTAGTCGAGGCTGGTGGCTGGTCGTGGGATGAGGGCACCTACATCGGGCTACGTGATTTCCATTCGGGGAAGGGCTTCGACCCTCACAGCCAGGATGTCGCTCGCCATCTGAGATTTCCGTTCTATAATTTATATAGTGAGTAGAACGAGCTGATAGCAGACATGCAGCAGATTAATATTTCACCCCATAGATTCCCACCTCATCTTCGATCATACAGGCCATCCGAACCAAAAGTCTCGAAGAAATAATCCCTCCGGTAGCATAGCGGAAAATCCATGCTCCAATCTTGAAAATTATAGCGGGGAACCTTTCAGCTGGCAGGGTAATGCTCTCACTCTCGCAATAAAACGGGCTCAACGTCTCGAGTATTGGCTCGATGACGACTCTCTTGTAACATTCATAGAAATATTGGAGACCGATCCCAGGGCTGTCGAGGCTTATCTGGCCCTCGAGCGTGAAAGCCTCCGAATAAAGTGGGTGCAGAGGAAGCTGGGAATTGCGTGTTGAATCTTTGTGTAATTTTCAGTCCCGATGTTCTATCACTTCTTCGTTTCATTGTAGAATAATAATGATACCATTTGTTACACTGTTTCGAGATTCAGACACAGGCAGGAAGAAGAGTGACGAAGTAAAGTGAAAACGAGAATGGGATGAAATTACATCTGCGCGTCGTTTCCTAGGCTCTTGCGGATAGATACGTCGTGTTGTGTTGACGTCGGACAGCAAGAGCAAAAGCCGGGACTCAGATTTGGACATTCTAAGTTGATATTGCTCGCCATTGCATGCGCAGTCCACCTCGAGACGGCCGTGCGGTAGCGATAGTCGGAGATGGCCGCACGATACACGGAATCGGTATTCGGCGCTACTATCATCGAGGGCAAGTCCAGGATCATGCCGCTGAGGCGCCGGCCGCCGTTGGAGATCGCGGAGTCCCGGTTGGCAATGGACGGGGAGAGCTTGGAGTCTTTGTCGTGCATCCGCTTGATTTGCCCTTCGACGGCGTCCGCGGCTACTTGGTCCGAGGCCGACGAGCTTGAATATGCGCTTGGCTTGGGTGACGGCCGTCCGGGTTAGAGTTGGAGCCCGCAGGGAAATGTCGTACTCAGTGTCCCAGTCCTCGTCGTGCAGCTTGACAGGGGGGAGAGAGACGTGGCGGACGGAGGGCTTGGAGAGGGTTTTCGGGTGCATGCTTTGAGTCTGTTTCGAAGCTCTGATGCGATAGATACTGGGGCTTTGCTGCTGGAATTTCCAGCATAGACGGGGAGGGTTTCGGCAGGACTACTACGGTCTGCGATATCGTTGTTAAATATCAGCCTGGCAAAGGAGATTTTGGATTCGAGCGCCTACCTCGACGATTATATTCGGAGTCTTCCACCATCTCCAACACCGCAAGACGAGTTCAAAGACAAAGTAGATCAGAGCAAGGAGGGCAGTTATGGCGACAAGGATGATCAGCACCGCGGCCCAAAGTTCGGACCCGCCAAAGTCGGGAGGAGGTAGGGCTAATGCTTTCGTGCTGGGTGCCATAGCGTTTATTTAACGAGTGGGAGGTAGAAAAAATCCAGGATGTGGAGAGAGGGAAGATGGCAGTATTTCGGGGAGGCTGACCATTTTCCAACCAAAAACGATCCGAGTCAGCCACAATGTCAAGTCGTGCGTCTGGACTGCCTGGAGAGAGAAAGTATTAGATAGGTGGACACAAAAATAAGGAGAGGAGATGCTATGAATCTGATAGATTGCTCCAAGTCCAAGCCTAGGCTCCGATTCACTCCGGAATCACTCTTTTGAATTTTGGCTGAACTTCAGGGACCTCAGAATCTGCAGAGTCAGGTTGCCGACGAATTGCGTGCCAGTGTTATCCCGAAGACATTTCAGGATAGCAAGACACATCCCAGATCGATTTTGCGCGCCGGTTCCCAGTTCGTTTTCCGAATGAGCAAAATTGGAGCAAAAGTCGGCATGACAGGCTCGGTTCCGAAATGACTAAGCAATTTGTTGGCATAAAGGGGGCGTCAAAGACAGTCATCTCGCATCTCACTTGTCTCTTACTCCCAGCATAACCACCTCATTCAAATTGTCTGCTCGTGAAAACCGTAGGTCAATCCCCACAA